CTGTCTAAACTGCAGATGAATCCTTCACTGTCAGAATATGAAGTTATGATTCCTTGTCCTATTGTTTTAACTGCTAAGCACAAAAAAGTTTGATGGATCTATATTATCAATAATCTTAAACACCTCAATCAAATCCTTTCTGATCCTTCACCTCTCCAAAGAAAAGAAGTTTATAGATATTAGTCTCTCCTCATAGGACACCCACCATCCCAGGTATGATTCTCATAGCTCTTCTCTGAACCTTCTCTTGAGGAAGGATGCCCAAAACTGTACACACTACTCTAAATGAGGCCTTACAAGTGATCTATACAGTGAAACAATAATATCCCGTGTCTTGTATTCAATATTTCTATAGATGCTACCCAAAATCCTATTAGCCCTGTTGCTAGCTACAATACACTCTTTAGATGACTTAAGTGAATTCTTTTATCACAACACCAAGATCTTTTTCTTCAACCACAGTATTTGATGTATTCCCATTTAAATTGTAGCAATAATTTGAATTGTGAAAACCTACATACATCACTTTACATTTTGGATAGTTAAACATCACCTGCCACGTATTGGTCCAATGCATCAAATGATCTAAATCTCCCTGTACGTCTACAGCATCTTTGATATACAGTTAGCTACCCCAAAAATGTTAATGTCATCTGCAAACTTCAATATTTTGTTTGTCAATCCAGAGTCAATGTCATTAATATAAATCACAAACAGCAGAGGACCCAGCACAGAACCCCCTAGGCACACCACTTGTAACTGTGATCCAGTCAGATCTAACTCCATTTATTACTACTCTCTGCTTTCAACTCTCCAGTCAATTTTCTATCCAATTTAATAACATTTCCCCCACAGATTTAATTTTTGTAACAAGTTTTTTGTGAGGCACCTTATCAAATGCTTTCTGAAAATCAAGGTAAACCAAGTCCATGGTATTTCCTTCATCAACTCTTGCAGTAACATCCTCAAAGAATGTCAGAAGATTTGTTAAACAAGATTTTCCCTTAGTGAAACTATGATGGCTCTTTGACACTATATCAAACTTGTTTTAGTGACTTTGCAATGCATCTTTAATCACACTCTTCAAAACCTTTCCAACTAATGATGTAAGACTAACTGGCCTATAACTGCCTGGACAATGTTTATCACCTTTAAATATTGGACTAATATTATCCAACTTCCAATCTTCTAATACTCTTACATTAATATTAACTAGTGGTTCACAAATAAAATCTTTAAGTTCCTTTAAACTATAAGATATAAGTTATCTGCTCCAGAGGACTTCTCAATTTTTAGGTTTCCCAACTTTTCCCTTACAATTTCAGAACTTAAAATGATATCTTTTATATAAGTATTTTCCCCATACATTAAGTGCTCTGGTTGAGGCATAATACTTGTATCTTCCTTCATAAAAACTGAAGAGAACATATAATTTAATAAGTTTATCATCTCATAATCTTCCAAGATCAGCTCCCCACTAACATTTTTAAGATGCCCAATCCTCATCCTAACATTTTGTTTACTCATCATATACCGAAAGAATTCCTTATTGTTTGATTTAACTCTCATCCAACCCTCTTTCACATGTAGTTTTGCCCTTTTAACTTCCTTTTTAACCACCTCTCTTGATTTCCTATAGTCCTCCAAGTCCTTATTATTCCCAGTAAGTTTAAATTTCTTGAATTTATTATGTTTATCCCTAATATGATCTCTTAAACCTTTACTAAACCATACTGGCTTATTCTGCTCCATTGCCCTTTTTTTTTCTGTGGGGTAAATACATTTAATAAGATTTAATGCAACTTGATACATTTTTAAATTTTATAATACAATGGATCTATTAACTTCCTGATTGACAAAACAATTCTTGTAAGGATCCTGACTTAAACAGCTCAACCACAGATGTTTTTCAACAACTGAGCTCAATGAGGCTTTTATAACAACATTTATTTGTAGGTCAAGAGCAGCTCTAAGAACTATTTTCTTTATACAGGGTTTTCTTTCACTTTTCATAAAATTAATATTCTGATAAAATGATTAAGAAAATATACTAATTTAAGGCTTATTAAATATGAACAGATATTTTATTAACCACAAATAGGTTGTTCTGGGTCACCAAAACACTATGGATCCTATGCTATTAAAAACACATCTCCATATTCACATGTATGTGTGTGTGTGTGTAATATAAAAGATGCAAAACCAAAACTAAATGGAAAATTGGTACCACAACAACAAAGACAAAAACTAAACAATAAAAAATCATCATTTGTCAGAAAAGTACATGAGGAATAGTTAAAAAAATATCTGTTGTAATAGATCCCAAAAGAATTAGGGATATCCCATCTATAAGATATAATCCAAAAAATGCCAAAGAAAAACAAGACAGTTTGTAACACAAATCAAGTAAGACTGGGGTTTAAGTGCAAAAACCAACTATAAATCCCAAACCTTAACTACCAATATCATTTGCAGCTTACTGTGGGTATAGTACTGTTATTGATAAAGCAACAAGTACAAATAGCTGTTAACATAAAAATCTCCATTTACTATATGTAGAGCACCTATGGTCGATTGTTTAGGATATTTGCATAAAGCTACACAAGGGCTACCTAGCTTAACTGTCACTAATTTAACCTGACAGACTAAAGAGAAGGCAGCTAACCCAACATCAACCACAACCAAGGATACTCAATTTGAAAATGCATCCATGGACCCAAAATGTGAAGCGCGATTTATATATATTTACTAGTATTTTTTATTTCGTGGTACAAGAAACATGAACTCTCAAATCCATAGACTAGTAGGCTAATCAATGGGCCTCTCCAGATCCTCGTATCTAATGAGTTACAGAGATTTTATTTAACATATATATAATATGTATAGTGTATATACACTATCCTACCAAAAGTCATGGGACACGGGTAGTTATGAATAAAACGTGTCTTTATTCAAAGAAATTAACAGCATGTTAGCATGCCTTTGGCCTTAATGACTGCTTCAATTTCTACTAATTTCTGGTAGAAACCTGGTGGTATTGTGCTCCACATATATATATATATATATATTCAGATTCAAAAGGCAGATTCCATTCTTATGGCTTTCTGTAAGTTAGTAATATAATATCTTTGGTAAGTATTTTAGTTGTATTAATTTCCATAATTAGAACATGTGCATAAACATTTCCATTTGCATGTAACATTACAATCCGTGTTATGAATTTGAGTAATAATGCTTCTGAAAAGCTTTAACTGTTTTTGTACAGCACTGACAAAACTAAATTTGATAATATAATCAATGTTTTTTCAAAATATCTTAATACATATATTTCAATTTTTTTACAATCCTAAATTTAGATGATATTAAAGGAATTGGTTAGATAATTATGAGACATAACAATACTGTTAATGTGCATAAAAATGTGCAAGTGACAGTATGAGTTTGAATCTTTGCTTTGTTGGTATGGTAACATGTGGGGATGTGTGTTCAGCAGCCAATCAGGTACAAGTTCACTTATCCTTTTGGTAAGTTGCAATAATATGGTCTTCTACACACACACACACACACACACACACACATATATATATATATGTCTGTCTATTTTTCTGTTACTTAACTGGGCCAATCTCAACCAAACTTTATGGGATGATAGTTTGAAACAAGAAGCATGTTATAATTGGGGCTCACAACCCTTCCACCCCTATTATTGCTGTTATTGTGCATTTATTATCTTTTATGTACATTATCTACATTTATAAATGGCACCACATCCTTACACCAAAAAACAAGAAAAACTATTAATTTTCTATAAAACAACATATACACAGTGTGAAGGGAAGGGAACACACA